ATTAAAGCTATTTTGGGAATTTATTTTAAGAAATTACCAAGCATCCAGAAATTTCAACATTTTCTTTTTGAAGCAACCGATTTTGGTACAGTGAAAGTTCAAGAAGTTGCTAACAGACCTTTTACTGAACTCAATTTATTGAAAACTAAGAAAGCAGATATTTTTGAAGAGATTAAATCTTTATCTATTTTAGTGTTAACACCACCTCCTTTGGATTATAAAAGGCAAGAATATCTTTATCATAATATTCGTCCATTTGTTAGAGATGAATTTAAAGACATTACTTGCCCAAGACCAATCTATACTAGTAACAAATAAATATTCAAAATAAAATCACTTCCATGACTTTGTCCCTCATTAATTTGTCCCTTGCATCATTAAGTTTAATAAGTTTAATCTTTTGACAAATATTGTTAGCTTTTTCCACTTTTAAAGCAAAAAACTACTAAAATAATTTATATACTTAAATAAGAAGGATATAAGTATATTAAATAATAAATAAAAAAAGGAACAAGCAAGTAAATCATGAAAAACATAATAAATGAACAACAACAAGCAAATAAAGAACTAATTGAAGAAAATGAAAACTTAAAAAAACAATTTGCCAATAAAGAAGAAAATCTTAAGTGAATCATCTGACAAACATCTGGTGGTGAACCTCACTTAGAAAACAATACATATGATTATTCTCCTGGTCATTGATGATACAAGAAACTAAATCAAAAATTACTAGATGAAAGTAAAGTTACTTATGGAATAGATCCTAACGAAACTAGAGAATGGGCTAAAGGTCATGAAAGACCTTGATTTGATAATGCCAATGTTGAAGAAATGTTAAAAGACTTTTGTGATAGTTCAAAAGAATTAGCTACAAGTTGTTCTAGTTATATTTCAAATTGAAGTAAAAGAGGTTATCAGCTTACTGAACAAAAGAGAGAGTATGAAAAGAAAATAGCAGAATTGAATAAGTATAAAGAGCAAGTTGAAGATTTAGAAAAAAAACTTACAGAAATTTTGTTAGTTTGACATGAGGAGCAAGAAGAAATTGATAATGTTTCTTGAGAAGATCAATTTCATAATTGAGACTTAGGAGAATTAAAAAATTTAACAAGCAGAACAGAGAAAGAATTAAATAAAGTTGTCTTTGAAGTCATTGAAAAATTAGAACAAAGTTCTAAAGACCTAGCTGAAGCAATAAATAAGGCTGAAGAATGAAAAAACTGACAAAAAGATCTTTTGAATGATGAAATCAAACAAAAATCACTAATGCTACAAAAATCTGATAAAATGCTTGAAGAGGAGGTAACAAAAAATACAAAACTACAAGAGGAGTCAGAAGAGAAATCAAAAATGTTAGCAAGAAGTGAGGAAAGAGAGGAAGAACTAAATAGACAACTTTATTTAAAAAGAAACCCCTTGCCTGCTTTACCTAAAAAACAAAATACTTTCCAAGAATTAGGTTCAAGAATTAAGACCAAATTCCAAAAACTTCAACACTTGATGGAGAATTTACCGCTTGAATAGAAGTAAAAGTTAATTAGTTTATTTTACTATTATGAGAGAATTGCTTTACACTATTTTGGAGTTAGAAGAATGACATAGCAGAAATTCTACTTGTGTTTTTTGCTCTGGTTTGAAAAAGGCAGTTTGTCAAATAAGAGCACAAAGCAAGGCAACTGGCAAAATGATTGAAAGTGATAAGGCTTGTGAAAGTTGTAAAGAAAAGTTTGAAAATGATGAATTGCCTAAATGTAGTTGTGGAAGATTAAAGACTAGATATGCTTGTGATTGTAAAGAAGAAGAGAATAAAAAAGAACTCCCTCTTTTACCTCATCAAAATGGGGGAATGGCATTTTTTACAAATGACAAATAAATTCTTTACAAGAACAACTAACTGAGACCGAAGAGGCACTAGAGGTTGAAAGAGAAGAAGTAGCCAAATTTCAAGAAAAATCCGAGGAATGAGGCAAATGACAAAAACAAGAGTTGTTAGATAAGATTAAACAACAAGAAGCAGAAATTATTAAATTGACTCAGAAAATTGAACAATT